CTAAATTAGTTATTGGACAGTTGAATGAGGGCGGTAAGATTTTCACTGCCTAGGGGCAAAAACTTTAACCGGCCCTGCTTGTTCAACTGTATATATAGTATATATGTATGTATATATATATATATATCACGTAATCTAGTAATATAAACAATAAATTTAATCTTAATTTAAAATCTTTGCATTAATTATTAAAAAAGTAAGATAACGTAATGTCTTATATTATCAAAAGATATTTTGAGAGATCATTGCGAGGGAAATTTGCATATGCAAATAACCGCGAAATTATGAGCAATTAAACTTTTACTTCAGTATCTCATTTTGTATAGATATTTATTCAGCAGTCTGAAACCTTTACAATTTTCAAATCTACATAATTAATTAGACATTGTTATGCATCGACGCATTAAACAAAATTAAATATATATCAATTAATATTATTAGTTCATAGAATTCATTGAATAGTTGAGCTCAACTTTCGGAAATATTATAATCACTATTGTATAACTTTTACATTATTATAACCGCGATAACCCGAATTTTTTAATTTTTCAAAAGAATTAAAATATAATAAATAATTGCCCTTTTTTAAAAAAATATCTTAATAAAATAACCTACAGATTTTTGTATTAGAAATAGATTGAAATGTGAACAAAAAGAAAATTATTTGGTATTTGTGACTATATAATTGCATGGTTAAAAAATGATAGTTGGGAGATCAATTTTATTTTATTATAGAAATAACTATAGTAAAACTCACAAAGACGAAACGAAAAACGCCGCGGAGAAACTTTCCCGCGAGAGATAACTTTGTCCTGGCGATCCTGGCGCCAGCTAAATTACATTTAAGTTTCGAAACGCAAAAAATAATTTCGAACTTTCGAGCATTGTCGTAACTCTAGACTGTTGCCGACGCAGGCTGATCCGCAGTAGAACAAATTACCAGCAGGTTAATTGTGAAGCGGACAAGGGGAGAACACTGAGCTGCTTATGTACCATGGCCCTAAAATTGAATTATATCATCCCCGCGTAAATATGCATGAGATGTCCACCTGGTGTTTCCTGGACGTGGCTCGCTGAAAACTCTCGAACAGATGGAAATTTACGATTCGCGGGACGGTCAACAAGAAAAACGTACCAGAAAACATGCATTGTTCGCCGCAATTTAATCAGGAACATTTCTGTCCTCCAGATTTCCATTGGTGGCGTGTTTTTACGTTGACTTATCATTTTTAATCAACAGCTTTTAGAAAGAAACCTGACCCATCATCGTAGATTTCGAGTTATATCCTAAGATTCTTAAGTAACAAGCTGACATTACTTGTCATCGCTATTTAATGTCAAAATTATGACAAATAAGCTTATTACTAAGGAGAAGTCGTGAACTTATTCTCTCTCTCTCTTCTCTCTTCTTTGCCGTATTGTATAAGATATATCTTCAATATATTATAGTGTAAATTTAATTAATGTAACTAACTAATAAAGTTAAACCGATAGATAGTTTATTTCGCACAAATTGGTCCATTTAAGAATAAAAGTATAGAAGTACTTTAACCTTGTTCGATATTTCAATATACTCGTTTTTTATTTCACTTCTTTTTAATCTACGGAGTATTTAATTTAATTTACAAAGTTACTATAACTGATCGATACGAATTTATAAGTTGACCAAGTATCAATTCAATAATAATATCGATTCACTCACAGCCTAACGATCGTAATACAATAGGTAAAAGAACGGTAGTAGTATACTAATAGTATACCACAAAATTTATCGTTTTTTTTTTTGTTTTCTTTTCCGGATCATTGAAACTTTTTACCGTGATCGATAGTTAAAAGGGAAGACTTACTAAATATTGCCAAGTAATTCCCAGTCATTCTGGAATCAAAATAGCAGTGGCATCGAAAAGATGCTTCCAAGATGTCATGACGAAGCTTTGGCTGGAAACTATAAATTTAAGGCTCTTGAGTGTTCAGACAAGAATTCCGCGTTGATGGTGGCGACTTGAATTAGTCTGTGGCCTATCGAAACCGATATAGCCATAAGCACAAGCCCATGTCCGTGTGCTCTTATGTTCGAAGCGAGAGATAAAAGATATGCATAGGGTCCATTATATTATTCCTTTTCATGTTAATATAATTTTAAATAAAACAATTTATGATTTATATATTCAAATAACATTTTTCCAATATAATGCTAATAATAATTTAAATATTCTATTTTTTCATAATCAATGTTCGAAAAATTTTGCTTGCGAAAAAATTTTGCACCAATAGTCTCCGACAAATTTTGGATCTGTCATTGAAAGATATAAATAGCTCTAAAATTTCAAAAATCGTATGACGCTGAACGAAACTTATAAGCGAATTCATGACGAAGCTCGCGCATCAACAGGCGACAGGGGATTTCTCTTCTCTTCATAGTTTCTAACGCAATTACCCACAGCATGCTGAAATCAAATTAGTTTGTATCGGATGCTGCTTAATTTCGTTAGCTCGACTGTACATCTATAGCTATCACAATTTTCTCAGAGCGAGTCCGAACAATGACCGAGTTTTTACAGACCGAATAAAGTTCAATTTGCTTCTTGTCCCTGTTTCACTTATGCATCTTCCAGTCTCCCTCTCTCTCTCTCTCTCTCTCTCTCTCTCTCTCTCTCTGTCTTTTTCAGTTGACACTTCTTGTACGATAGTAAGTCTCTCGTTGAATACGGGTCACGAGCTGAAAATGTAGGTTGTATATCTATGCGAAAACAATAAATTGTTTCGAGATTAACGTACTCGCGTTTATTTCAGTAAACAAGAACCGAATGATTTAGTATTGCTAGAATGTCGAAACCTTGTGCTGAGATGCCCTTTACATCTGATCTTCCACATAAAAATCTTAGATAATCAAACACACACAAAAATAGATTCCCAATCTATAACCGGTAGAAGAAGTTCTTTCTATATAAGTACGAGATGAACAGGATGGTGGGGCCTAAAGTTCAGTGTTCGATAGACAAGTGAAACAATCTGCCTCGAGATAAATATCTCTCTCCGAGTTAAATACAAAGTTTTGTTGTAGATATTTTGCGTTCGATCTCCTCCACACACATTCATTTTTATAGAAATACTAGAAAACGTTTATAAAAAAGACAAATAGTTGATAAAATTGTTCTACCCACGCTTGTAAGATTGAAAGGTCTTCTCTCTTATAATTCAACTTTAGATATCGTGACATTTCAGATGACAATGAAAAATCGATTGTAAAGGAAGTCGTGGACCCGTGAGTAAAGAAAAACGCGGTAGTTCTGACACATATATTGTTATACGTTTTCAGATACATATGTCTATAAAATTCGGATATACAATATAATAGTTGCTCCAATCTCTCTTCTATTTTCCAACTTCCTTGTTTTACTTTCCGTGCACAACTGAATCCCGACGAAAGAATAAACAAGTGATATCGCGTCCGCCCGGATGAGTATTTCACGCCTTTTCTCCGAGATATCTAGAGATATCGTGCTCGATTGGTTTCGACGAATAAAAATAGTCCGAAAAATTTATGAAGACTGAATTTAAATAGGAATATAACTTCTTCTTAGTGGAACAATTATGTCTCTTTTGACATTTTGCAACTTACTGTTTAAACGATTGACATTTAAAGAAATGGAATTTTTCAAATAAGAATTGTTTTTGTCCAAAGAATAACGGACCACTTAAAATTACAAGACATGAGTTATAAATCTATAAAATTTACCATTTTAATTTTGAAATATTTAATACCAAAAAATTTCCATTAATCTCTATTTGCAATAAGAATATTCAAGGTGGTCAGTACAATTTTATACAATTTATTATATAATAAAATAACTGATGTGTGAGAAAGTTCTGATAATAAAATTTCGAGAAGAAAGAATTCCATCCTTGAGCAGTCCCATTTTATCCCATCACAATGTCATGTTAGAACGATGAGTAATTGAATTAGCAAGAATCATTGGTAAAGATTGTTTCCAAAATTCCATAATTATTAAGACGATAATTGGGCGTTCAATTAGTATTCGGTCTTTGATTACACTCAAATCGCGCAAGATCATCAAGGCCTAACTGGAGTAATTAAATTCCAACGAAAAACGGAAACGTAGCATGAGATTTGATAGAAAAACCTAAAATTCTCTCGCTCTTAATTAACAACGACTTCTAACTAATAATGAGTTTCTGCTTTGTATTTAATATATTCTGTAGGCATTAGAATTACATGGATCATTAAAAGAAATATTATTTAACAAGCGCTTATACCTGCTATTATAATAACGTTCCGTATATTTTATATGACTGTGTGTCAGATATCTATACTAAAAAAAAAAATTGGTTGCTGTAGACATAGACAATAAAAAATGTTATGTCATATTTTACCATATAATTTACTGCAGCAGCCAACTTTCTTTCCGTGTATTCATACAACGTACGACGCTTAATTAGGAAAATGTTGGGAGATCAAAATGAAAGTATTTTATACACACAAATAATGACATTTTTTAAAAAAAATCTTTATATTATCACGGAGGGGGGTAAAAGTCTACATATACATACACACACATAGACACAGATAGATATATACTTTGAACAAAATGTACGAACGAAACATTTAATGCATAAAATCGGAAAGATTTTTTTAATAACAGCAAACGACGCACCAATTTAATGCAATGCATTCTCGGTTTTGATCTTAAATATTATTTGCAGTTATTAAAAAATATTTGTAAAAATTATGTGTAGTTAATTAAAAAATGAAAATATAAAAATTACTGAGAGGAAGGAGAAAAGTGCTCTGCTCTCTCTAAATTGGCACTTATTATTCGTCGAGTTTGAAGATTTGCATATTATAAAATCGGATTACAATACAGTTCGGATAAATTCAGATTTTAGGATCGCAATTTTAATAGCTACATGTACCGAATTGGAACTCGTTTGTTTAACATCGACATAACTATAATAAATGAAATTATTCTCTGATGCAGGTTCAGCAGTAAAAATGATAGGAGCTAATCTGAGATTCGGCATCGGTGCTTTCGGGAATGTCACGGCCAACGCTACTAAGGTGTTCCAGTGTCATCCCGATAGTGCAACCGAGGCTACTGTGATATTTAGCCTTGCTGGATTGGGAATAGGGGCGAATATTATCCTCATGATATTAATACTGATGAAACCACATCTGCGCAGGTATGAAGCGATAACAATACAACAAACAATAGCGCTCCCCATGTTTTGCATGCACTGATCCGGGAATATATGCCTGAGAATTTTCGCGTTACGACGCGACGTTAATTAAACAAAATAAAATTGCTTCCTGCAGACATATTGTGCTGCAAAAATTGCACAACCGTGATTTCTCCGAAATGAATAAAAATATGCAATATAAGAAGCACTATATATTTTAACACGCATAATTACATCTGTCCCATGGTCGTATTCAAATATATTATAAATTTAATACATTCATTTAAAAGAAACATTATACTATTGCGATAAACGAAAACGAATTTGTTTTATTATAACTCCCCATACATATTTTTTTAGTAGAATTTATAGAGTTATAAAGGTATGTTTAATTTTATGTCAAGTAGATTTCAATCCTACGTAAGAATATCTTGACTTGATAAACTTATTTTGGTACGTGAATAGATAACTGTATTGCCGCCCAATAACCATCACAAAAAAATCTCAAGCGTACGCTATATGTTTGTCAAATAAAATATTATCTGACCGATACGCGAAATATAGTACAAACTGCGGTGTGTTCTAAATATGATAATGATTTTTCAAAAAGTATTTAATTGTTATCAATTTAAAATCGGTTTTTCTTAACAAGAATGATATATTCTATAAAATTGGCGATCGTAAGTAATTACAAGTAAAATATGTGTCGTCAAAGATATTCTCATTGAAATGTTTGTAATTATTTTTATTTTTATGTTTTTAAATTTCTATTCTAAGCTTATTAAAAGTATCACTCTTTCTATAAAAAGGTGTCACTGCGCTTGTCTTAGCACTGAGATTCTGTAATCTCGGTCCATCAGAAATCGAAGTCTCGCGTAAAGTACACGGTAGTGTCTCTGCGTTTGCTCTAGCACTTAAACTTTACAGATTGGAATAAATATTTTAAATAAAATTTACGTTTAATTAATAAAGTATTGTCTAATATTAAATATTCACAAAATAAGTGGCGGAGAAAAATAATCATTCGATGTTTATTAGAAAGAAATATGTACATTCCATTTGATATCGTATTTTAGAAATACCTATTCTGTTTGTATTCACATATGAGTCTTTTTCATTGTAAATTAAAACACCTCTGACAATTTTATTACCATTAAATTCAATAATAATTTTCTGTTGGTAGTAAAATTGTTGTAAACGTATCTTGCAGTAATGTAGGATTAAGAAAGTAGAAGTCGGAAGTGAGAAGAATAGTGAATGTATTGATGTATATTTATTTTGAGATTCACAGGTGGTCTGAGGGGCTATTATTTCACCAAGCTATGATAGATTGTACGAGATCCGCTATACTAATACCTCTAGGCTCCAGTTTATTAAATTGTCAACCCGTTAAAACATGTTCCCTGCTAGAAACCGCCTTTTTGTTGCTAGTGACTGTTTCTATAGTCAGTATATTAACCATTGTGCTCAACAACACCCCGGTATTCCCATGGAACGATGTGGAAATAGATATAACCAGTTCAGGACTAGTAGAGTCACGTCAGGTAAGAATTATAATACATCTTGTTAAACTATTTGGTTTACAATTTCATTCTTTGCTCTTTTTACAATGTTTCGATGTAAAATTATAAAAGAACGAATATTAACCTAATCAAAGTAATTCTCTTTACTTTCTATATATTTTCGCCATCTTTCAGGCAACTGTCGGATTTCGCTTCGGTAAAAAAATGGTTGTTGTCAGTCAATAAATTCTATGATAAGAAAAAATTGAAATTACCACGAAATCTTTAGAATCACTTTTTACATGTACTATACGACACAGAATTTTCTCTTAAAGCCGAGCAAATCATTTCTTGAGCTTTCGCAGCATTTTTTTTTTTAGTTGAAATGCGAAAAGGAGGCAGTGCTTCAAATGCTGCTTTTCGAACACGACATAATTTTTAGTTTTACTACTACTTTTTGAGATTAGATTCGCAATACCAACACTTATTTTAGCGCTTAAGGTGACGTTGAAACAACTGTATGGCGAGAAAAAGATTCAAATTTAAATAAGTGCTGTAGTTGATTAAATATAAGGTCCGAGAAATTAAGTGGTAAACCTGATAATATCCGTACTTTCTATTCTTATTCAGTATTTCTATGATTTTTGCAGGTGTGTCGTTAGATAAATAAGTATAGATTCGTGCGTATGTAGCTCTTCATCTCCGAGTCTTAATAACTAACAGTTCCAAATTATCTCTCAGTTCTCAGTACTTAGGTCTTCCAATTTGCAACGTTCAACTCTTGATCGTCTCAATTGTCTCTTAATCCATTGTGGTTTAAACTATTTCTCGTAAATGAGCGAAAATCAAATTTGTCTTCAATTTTAACCAACTGTAATCAGGTCTAATTATTATAAGGTATTATAATAAAAATAAGAACTATACTGTGAATTATATTGTGTCAGTATGTTCAAATGCAAAACTTGCACCATTAAATGAAATTATTCTATTTGAATGGTAAATGTAATGTTTAGAGGTAAAATTACAAATCGCTCTGTATTTTATCTGCGCAAAAGAGGGTTAAAAATGACTACCGATTTTTCACACATAGTAAAATTATATTCTTATTTTTATCAGTGCATTCTCTCTCTCTCTCTCTCTCTCTCTCTCTCTCTCTCTCATAATTATTATATTGATCTTAAAATAATCTTAAAAAAATTTCAAATTATACAAGGTTCATACATGGCAGACTATTATATCAAAAATATTTAAAGTATGGACCATATGACTTTGGCCAACGCAGAATACTGTTGTCCATCTCGCATGCAAAATGAGAGAGAAATTCTCGACTAACCACAGCATTGTGATAGTGAATTCGGCAGTGACTGATTGCGGCAAACCGTCCGCGTCGCAGAATAGAAATATAGAACTGAAAATTGTCCAAGTAAATTGGATTTTGCCAAAGAAAATTAATTGCGCTGTAAAAAGCATTCAGCGCACAGCGCCTGAACTGGGCATAAACGGAGACTTTTTAATATATCTAATCAGTTAACGGTTATAAAAATACGATTTCTTTTCCAATCAATTTCATACCGAATTTTTATATCATAAATTTTAATAAATGCTCAAACACTAACAAAGGATAAGATCGAATGTTTTAATTTGGAATTGTATATTTATGTATGTGTGTGCACACGTGTGTGTGTGTATAAAACTGGTTTAGTTTTTCTCTCTCATAAATTATTAAATCTGTTTTATATATATTTTTCTTTAATTTCTAATTCAATTTTAAGCAAATTTTGTTTTTATTTCAATACATCTATCTACATGACAAATTTAATTAAGAATTTAAAAGTTACGAATTTATCAAACTGTGCACACTTCTAAAATTCAATGCAAATCTTATTGGGAATCTTATATCATTATGGTTAGACCCGAGACACTAATTAGCGCAATTAATTCCTTAACGAGTTCCCTGTGCGTATAATAGCAGTTATAGTTTCAAATTAATTTTACTTGAATAACTTGCATATTTAGTAACATACAACTCGCCTTCATAATTTCTAAAGATGATTCATTAAACATGCGAAATGTGTTTATTATCGTGTATCTCTTACGACAAAATTGTAATTGGCCTTACAATAATCGAAATACATTATTCAACAAAATTAAAGCAACACCTAGCTGTTGACCTCAGAGTATCGATATTTTTGATGAAGTTATTCTATCTCAAAATTTAACTATTTTTGCAAGCTGGAACAAATGATGCTTTAGTTTTGTTGAGTAGTGCATTTAAAATGTCTAATGGTGTATGTTCTATTTTGTTTCACATTTTAAATCTTAAAAAAATTTTTGTATGTGTATAGTTTATTTGTGCAAATTAAATTACTAAATTATTCCGATAATTAAAATCTCTCTCTTTATCAGGTTTCTTTTTTTATAAATCAAAATACAAAATGTAATTAGCCGAAAATATTTGCATGGTACTGTATATATTCCGAAAGACTCAGGATTATCACACGTAAATTAGAAAAAAATCTATTAAGAACTTTATTAAATATTTTTCGTTATTTTTACAGTGCGTATTCTTTGGCATAGCTATGATTTGGTTTGCGAGTGTAACAATCAATCTGGGACCCATGTTTATTAGTGGATCTTTAGCAGCAAATACGGAACATAGTCATAACGCTCCTAGTTGTCCATTAATCCATGGACCTTTTCGCCATTATGTACTTAATGCTCTTTGGATTTCGATAAACATTATTTGCTTAGGACTAACGTTTTTTCACTTGCGAAAATTGTACAAAGATTTCACAACAGCTGATGTCGAAGCGGTAAGCGATATTAATTATATGTACATATGTATAGTTATAAAATTTATACAAATATATACTTTATTAATTTTAGTTTATGCACAAACAAAAATACATATATAAATTTACATTTGATAAATAATTTTTATTTCTATGACTTATAACATATTACAAAAGTAATATATTGTATAAATATTACGATATATATACGTATATAAAATTAAAATGTTACATAATAACGCTTTTATACTTTTATAAGAACAAAGTTTTTTCTATTTAAAGATTCTTTACCATCTATACGTATTTTTTTTTTTTAAACAAAATATTACTCTCAATTTCATTTAATAATTGTATTAAATTGATTTAACTTGATAATCTTTTTTATGTCTACGTGATACCGTTTTTATCCACAGATACGATCTAGTCTTGTTAGAACGCTGCGTAATGTGACAGAAGGACATGCGCTTACTGAAGACAGTGACGCAAGGAACGGTACGATACCACAAGTAAGTTTTAATTACATTACTGATTTTCAACGAAGGAGCATATTTCTATATACAGAGTGTTTAAAAAAGCATTCACATTTATATGATATATATCATACTAAATAAATAAATCTTAGTAAATACATCGGAAACTGAACCGTTTGTAAAATAAACAATTTTGTAAGTATCATAACTGATTTATTATCTTTTACGTATTTTGTATAATTGCATGCGATATGAAGATTATCTCAGTATTTACAAACCGTGTGTGTTCTGAATGTTCTTATTCAATTTCCATACACTACACTTTATAATAAAAGATTTCACCGGGAGTCAGTAAATTGGCATCAACAGACGATTGTAATTGGATGGGAGATTACTTTACTGAATCTATAATTTTCCTAAATAAACTATTAGATGCTGCCCATTTTAATTTTTCTCTTTTCATGTCACATCAAATGCCTATGTAACACGTAGGAATCAAATATTTAGTCATGATACTAATATTATACAAAGTTGTTCATGTATCTCAGAAATGGTTCAGTTTTCGATTTATATTTACTACCAATAAGGCTGTTTTACTCATAGTGTACCCCATTCACCACATAAAGAGATCATACCAAACGCCCTGTATATACAATAAATCTTTACAAAATCCATTCATTTTAATTGATAATTCAAATAACGGTTTTTTGTTTTTCCAAAAACATTTTAAATATCACTAATAATGGTTACGATCAGTTTGCCGCTACGAATACGTCGAAGCATTTTTTGAAAGAGAGATTAGTTAATTAGTAAAATTCTTTCTTCCGATTGTTAAATAATATGTTTTAAAGAATTCGTAGCGGCAACTCGACCAATATTGACGATATCGAAGTTTATGTGTTATATATTCTTTTAAATCATCAAATGTAATAAATATGTATACTAAGATAAAAATAAATGAGAAACTGTGTTGTGGCATTGATGCCATATATATATATATATATATGTTGTGGAAAGGATTTAAAATTACTTAGAAAAAACATTTCAGAGAATGAGTACTATCGAGGATGAGTATCAAAATGTAAGGAGTTATCTCAAGGAAGTTGAACGCGAGGGTGTGCACAAGGTGAAAATGTTCGCAATCATAACAATAACATATGTCTTATTCTGGGGACCACTTTTTTTCATTACCCTGGCGCATCATCCTGAAAATTCTGCGGGATATGAGGTAATTAGAACATATAGAGTGTAATAAAATAATGGAAAACTTGTATTCGCGTTTATGTTACTTCTGCGAAATTTAGACACTATTCGATATTTATGTAGAAATATCTCCCGGTCATTACATATCTTGCTTATAATGGCGCATTTATGTACACTTATAATATTAGTAGCTCTGTATAACAATGCTTGCTACACTTTAGCGGATCGAACTTCATTCTTGTAAAAACAGCAATGGTATGTCACGTACCTTATTTATTTCACCATGTGTGCTCTTATATTTATTTCGAAAGATACATTCGCTTGAAATTATCGGTGGCATTCTAACAGCTCATACAAGTATTATAAATATACATGAATATATATATAAAACGACTATATAGCTGACGTCATAGAAAGAAGCATTTTATGAACGCAATCAATTATATAATAAATGTCGAAGTTAATTATTTGACAGCAACGAAATGAATAAATGAATACGCATCTCTTCTTTCTTTATTTGTAAGAATTACAATTTGTTGTTATATATGATTCTTGAAATAATTATGATACCGTAATGTTTGAAATACGTGTGAAACATATCAGAACTTACTAAGCTATTTTAGTTCAACTTTTCACAATGATATACATTTGTTCCAAAATACGAAAACTTCGCGGAAAAACATGTAAACGTAAGTTGCTCAACCGTGAAAATATACAGTTGTACGTGAATCACTCGAGCAAATCGTATCTACTGAGTAGGGGGTTCCTCCAAAGAATCTTTCTATGAAAATATAGATTTTCAAAATAGGAAAATCTGCAGGTCCGTGAAGTTGGCACTTCTAAATGCGAATTTAGAACGACAAAATCAACATAGCATTCGATTGTTCACAATTTGTTCGGTTAAAATCGAGCCAAACAATTAGTTGATATTTGAAATTGAATATTTCTAAATTACAGAATCAAGTTGTTTTTTAGGACCACAGGTCCTTCTTCAGTTATAATGTTCACGGTTTAAAATATACATTAGTACGCAGACTATGAGTTATTCCTATATCTTCATATGCAAACTGCACAATGCATCTAAATTATTGGTTTACGTGGTTTGTTGTACCAGGTGACTCTATATATAGCGTTTATACACGCTTCTGTGAACCCGCTTCTGTTCCTGCTCTTGCACCAAGGACTGCGACATGGGCTATCGGGCATGTGTAGCGATTGTTGCGAACGCATAGCTCGGTGGATCCTTGGATCCACTGCGACCGATTCGGTACAGAATGTGGATATACCTCTGTACGAACCACCGATGGATCTTCCCTCACCGCCAGATCCACCCAAGGCAACTTCGACTACATCATTGGTATGTAATCTCACTTACATGGTGCTCCTACAACCACCTTTGCTACCAACTATAAAATACTTACTGCTAGTAAGATATCATGTTCGCGAATAATTATTGAAACTTATCTCGAAACCTCGCTTAATTAGTTAAAGATTGATCTTCAACGACTCTGTCCTTTTAAAGGCGATTAATTATTTAAAGGTCACTTAGGCTGATATTCGTATTTTAAGGCCTTCTTAAGTAATTTACGACATCTCAAGACTGTATTTAAGACATTTTTTAATATAAGAACTGACCATGAATACCGATCTCAAACTAGTTTTTTTATGTTTTTTCTTTCCAAAAATGTAAATTTTTACATATCTTTTGTTATACAATTATATTTTTATGTTTAAAAATTATCCAAGCTTATAATATATAAAATCAGTACAATTACAGGACCACTCCTGTGTCGTACCACCAGACGCTTGGAGTCCGATTTCAAGAAGACCAAGCCTCCTGCTACCACTACCGGCGGAATTAAACGATTGTCAAATAAGTCCGACGAACAGCGAATAAATGGACCTTTATTATTCAGAGTAGGCATACACTTATCTGAAAAAAATTTTGTTAAAATTATTTTACGTTTTGAAACACTTTAGTAAAAAAGATTCACGTTTAGTAACATTTTAGCAAATTTTCAATAATTTTACTGAAATGTTTGAAAACATGGAATAATATATAGGAGAAACTTTTTCACCAGACAATTTTACTTAAAAATGGTATTCGTAAGAGAATTGTATTTTGTATTAGGAGACGCGGCAGCGTCTCCCGCCATGTATATTTTTGAAGTTTAGTATATTAAAAAAACGTCCTTATTATATTATAATATTATGAAAGAACACTACCATATCATGAAAGAGATGCTGCAGCGTATCCTTTAAGGGAAGAAGAATACTCATGTCATATGTATATATCTGGATTATTTTTATTTAACTATTTATGATATTTATTACCTATCTATATTCGTGCGGTAGCACATATTGAATTGCAATTTGCATTGCAATTAATTACCGCCAAATTTATCCCTAAAGGATAGGAAAGGACAAGAGTAAAGAAAAGAAAACGATCCTACATCATTTATGTAGATCAAATGAGAGCGCAATGAGTAAATTAATGAAGATTGATCAATATACAAATAACATACCTATATTCTATGTAAAAAAAAGCGGGAAATTGTACAACAGTGAATGCAGTTAGATAAATACTAAAATATATATTGCGTGAAAACACGTAGGTTGTGGGCAGCAATGCGCGCCTTAATTACAAGAGTGACACATGCTATGCGGTCGTGAATAAAGATTCGCAGTCATATGCTCGAACAGATTATTTATCCCGTTCCCAGCTCATTATACTATACTTACCAGAAAATAATCATGATTTTTTAAATTATTTTAACACTACTCGCATATCTCAGTTCCTTCTATACCTATCATGCATATTTTTGGTATTAGAATATGTCATGTTATTGATTATTACTGAACTCCATCTCCTTAGTCGAAATAAAGATCTCTAGCTTTGATTCAATCAGTCTGTTCTGGTAAGTTGTGAATACACCTCCGATTTTGTCCGTAAGCTTTTGTTAGACGTTATTAAATAAAGTCTGGTCAGAAGACAATGTGTTCAATCTCTTTTCTATATATTGTACATATACACATACATATGTATAATATTATACATCTTATACAAAACTTGTATATACAAAACTTATATTTTGTACATACTTTTTTGTACAAAAACTAATTAATATCTCTTTTAAAAGTTATCTTTTGTAATTATATTTCCATTAATCTATTTCTATTTACATTTCCTTCGTCTTTTAATTAATCAATAACAGCTGGTTCCATTATGTGTAATGTGCTAGATATAACGACAGGAATTTCAACGACATCATAATTTAATAAATAGATGTTATGTAATACAGAACAATTATATAATATAAAATTAAATCCGTTCGTGTCATAAACAACTTATCCAATAAATAACGCCATTGTGTAACCCGAATGACTCTACAATATACAGGATGTCATTAACCGATTAAATCACCTATCAAGAGCAGGCAGAGTAGACCGAACTGAATCAAAAACTCTTATACTATTTTGCAGTTTACGCAATATTTAACGAAATATTAGATCTTAAAGATAGCCGAATAGACGCGTTTGTCCGGCCTGTTAGCTTGGAGCGCGGGGAATAGAAAGCGTCCCGCGCTGCGCACATCACCGCGAGCCTCAACGTCTAAACTCGAGCAGCGTGCCTCAGGCCATCCCCGCGCCTCGCGATCCACGCGCGTAAAGAGTGATTGAGGGGCGTACACGCTTGGCAGTAGTAGGCCAAACGAACACATTTATTCGGCTATATTTAAGGTCTAATATCTCGTCAAATATTCCGTAAACTGCAAAATAGTATAAGACTCTTCGACTCAGTTTGGTCTACTCTATCTGTTCTTGGTAGGTAATTTAATCGATTAATGACACGCTGTATACTCCAGAAAGAGAAAATAAATAAACACTTACATGTCATGTACACACTTGGTATTCCAGCAAACATAAATATATAAGAAAGAATATATGTGAATATTATAATAAAATAATATTGATAAAGAAAGGGATAAACTTCTGAAAACGTATAATGTTTTCATGAATTTTGACAAAAACACTCTAAATAACGTTAAATGAATGCTTTTAAATGGATTTTCATCGACAAAGAAATTTAATACTAAAAACGTTTGAATAAAGTTATATACTTTATTCAAGTATATTTAGCACTAAAGTTCTTTAGATTAAGTCATTACGCGTGGAAATTCGTGCACCTCTAAACAGAGGGAAGGTGAGGTGGAAGTCGCTTCGAATGGGAATTGTATGCCCCTAGGCAGGAGGAGATGGGGTGAAAGTTTCTTCGCATGGGAATCGCGCGCCCCTGAACTTTTATAATTTCATTCAAACATTTTTGGGATTAAACTTCTTTGTCGGTAGAAATCCATGTAAGGGCATTCATTTGACATTGTTTAGAGTATTTCTGCCAAAATTCATGACAATCGGGTGTTGGACTTTCGGAAGTTCATACAAAGAGAGAAATATATGTTTTGTAATAAAGTTATCAACTTATCACAGATCCTGGCGTGAAGTACCGAAAGTAATGTTTAGCGAATAAGCATGCACACACACACACACACACAGTTGTAAAAATGTTATTTATCACTAACATGTGAAACACATAGTGATAACTAACATGTTAGTTATCACTAAGTTATCACTTTCCAATTTACCAACATTAAAAAACTTTGAAATTAAATAAAAAAAAACGAGACGAGCGACAATTTTCCTTCTTGGAATATATTCTACGCATGAAAATATACAAATTTACAAAATTACAGGAAAATCGAAGATGGAGGCGATATACTGAATATTTATCCTTTTCTTTAAAAACACAAAAGTTATATTTAAAAAATTATTGTTTTTGAAGCAGAGCTTTTGTGTTTATAAAGCAGAGAATTTGTTTGTAAGAAAGAGAATTTGTAAAGAAAAGAATATATTTGTAAATGAGTAATTGTGAATTGGAATTAAAAATAATTACTTTTTTATATGGATTGAAGTTTAGATCTAACGTTTCTTTGAAATAGATACTATTACTGTATACACGTCGCTCGCGTCCAAGTTTCTATTAATTTCGAGAAATGTAATAAATCTAATTAAACTTTATGATTTAAAGATATCGATTTTAGTGATAAACATCTGTTATTACAAATTTTCAACCTAAACAAACACTAAGTGGAAATGTGTCTATTATAACAAATGCGGCAATAAAATTAAAAAATTCAATATAAGTTAATTTAATTTAAGTTAATGATGTAGAAAGTTTAAATAGTGTGAATGGAGACAGTTATAATGATATAGAATATTTTAAAAAATTAAAAAATACTCCATTTGATCAATTTGATTTGGAAGTATTTTAAATAAAAAATGAAGAAATGTTTCCTAATTTAAAAAAATTAATTAAAGGGATTTTTTTTCAATTAAGTTTAATTAAAACAGAGTTACGAAATAGATTGGATGTAGAAACATGCAATTCTATAATATTGCCTAAGCAACTAATGGCTGATGAAAATTGTTATACATGGAATCTGAAACGTTATTGTAGAAAAGATGGAAATGTTAGTTATACTTGGGTCATGTTTATATATGTAATGAATAATATTATTTATTAATGTATATATGAATAATAATATTATAATTAAGCGTTACTTTTTATCGAAAAAAGAAATGTTTTTAAGTTAATTTGAGTTTATGTTGAAATTGCGTGTATTAACGACGTGTATGGTATCATGACATGCATATGTTTATTAAAACAATTTTTGTTAAACTTTGAAATAAATTGAAATAAAATTTATTGCCATTTTATATTAAAAAGCAACAGGCGTCATTAACGTTTTTTATTGTATTCCTTTCTTTAAAAAAAGATAATTTTTACTCGATATGAAACTCTATTCTTAAAAAATATCGCATACAAAAGACTAAAGAAATACAGTATACTTATATCACGTATACGTATAGTATTTTCCTAGTTTTTCGTATGCGGTACTTTTCAAGAATGCGATCTCTTTGGGGTGGTTTTCGCACATAAGGAATGGAGGGATTATTTGTTTTTAAAATTATTGATCAAAAACTGCAGAAAAATATGATCATTTTGCTGCATAAAACTGATAAAACCATTATAAATCAATTATTTGTTGATTTTTTTACGGTTGATTTTAAAAAATATTTACGGGTTACATTATCAAAATGTTCTGAATGATTTTTGACTGATTTTATCATATTAGCTTATTTTGTAACTTATTGTTTGATTAATATTTTTGATTGGTATTGTACAAAACATTCTTAAATTATAGTATTAGTATTTTTGTTTTTATTATTTTTTAAAATATGCATTCTAACTTTATTAAAAGTTTCACCAGAAAAATTATTTTTTACTAAATAGCTAGAGCAATAAAATCGGACTTAGAGATATTAGCACAAAAAATTAGCACTAAATCCTTTGTATGTCTCATGCGATTATTCTCATGTTGGCATTTTATATTCAGACATCAAATATATATGGAATGTCCTTCACTTTTATTGAGCAATTCAAACATCCGCGCATTGCCGAAGCAACATACACCCCTTTCAGGGGCGATGCGTCCTTGTGCGTTGTCATAGCGACACGTTCATTTATTTGGCAATGGATTTCTCAATTAGCGAGAAATATCGGCAACTCTTCGTCGTGTTTCATGAATCATACATCTATTGAGCCAACAAAAACTGCTCTCTACGTAGTTTTTTGAAGTTCCGCGATTTTCCTTATCGTTTCATCGCCCGCGCATTATAATTTCTTGTGCAAATACTGATCTAATTATTGTATTGTAACGTTTTATAATAGGAGATAGATAGATTATAGATAAATAGATAGATAGATTATAGATAGATGGACAGATAGACATCGTTTATTAAGCGCTTTAGAATTGGCTTCTCTCAAGTGCCAAAAGA